CCCCAAAACCCCAAAACCCCAAAACCCCAAAACCCCGAAATAGAGGGATTTTTGGAAGATATTATATTATTTTTGAGGTAAGTCATACAATGTGAGGGAAATTGGTTTTTTAGGGGGAAATGAGGGCTTTTTGGGGTGGGAAAAGGGGGTTTGGAGGGATAGGCTTGGGGATTTAGGGGTGGAGAGGGTGAGAGGGGGTAGGGAGGAGAAATGAAGGGGCCAGGGAAGCTGAAGGTATAGGAATGGAAGGAAATGAGGAAGAGAAGCTCACTGAAAGCGATCTGAGGTGAGTTGGCGCTTTTTTGTGTGTGTAATTTTTATAGTAAAATAAGAGTTTGTGCCAGAATGAGACCACCTTTTTATGATGAAACGAAAGCTCAGATTTCAATGTAAGATTTGAGAAGCTTCTCTTAGAAAATACTATCAAATTGGAAATTGAGATAAATAACAATTATTACCCAATAAAGATTCTGAAATAAGATAAACCCTCTTTTCAGATTCTCCTAGCCACTTTCACCTTCCAGACTTCCTTATACTAAATTTGTTTTGCGTTCAGAACTCTAATCTGCTTTTTGATAGCTTTGCTTTATTCTCATTTCAATATCCCGAATTCTACGAGCAATTTTCAAAAGAAATAACAGGCTTCAGCTCTCAAAAGTCTAGAGCTTTGAGAGCCTAGCGATTAAACAGATTCAGAAAGTTTCGGAAAGGAAATAGGCCAATTCTCAGAACTTCAATGGGGATTTTGTTGCTAACTATGAACTTCCGTTCTATAAAATCTTTGCATAATCCTGGACTATAGTCCTCTTAATTCCTTATGATAGACTAAATACGTACGATTAGAATTAATTCAGACTAGGAGCGAGATATGTTAAGTCCTAGTCCTAAATTTATTCCTAAAAACAACTAAGATTTGATACTCATTGAGGATTCTTTTTCCTGCAAATTCTGATAAACTCCTCATTTGTGAAAATATGAGAAATGAAGAATTTAGCATTAGCAAAGTCATGAATATAGCTGAATTATTTTAGGGTTCTTAATAAATAGGCGAGACTCATATTGCCTTTAATATTCCAAGATAACTAATCCTCTTGTGATACTATTATAGTAATTTGCTGAGATATTAGATAGATTTTTAGGACTAATGGTTCTAATTTTCCAAATTCCACTCAATTTTTTCACCCAAATTTCAGGTATAAACCAGTTATAGGTCGTCCTCCCTCGGCTGAATAGAGATCAAGGACACTTCTAAGCCAGCACCAGTCAACAGCGTACTATTTGGCTTAATATTTGTAGGCACCCAATGCTAAAAATGGAACAGAAAGGTTTGTATTTAAACTAAATGTTCTCAAAAATTTCTTACTTAGAAAATTAAGTTTAAGTTCCTCTGGGAGTTACTTGAGATAGTTTTTAGTAGAGTAAATTAGGGCCTAAACCTATATCGAAAGCTTCTTGTAGTGATAAAAGTAATAGGTTCAACAGTACTCCTTCTACCACAAGTGAAAATTCAGGGAATTTTGGCATTAAACGAAAGCAAACCTCCATTGGGGTCTCTAAGAGATACTATCTTGGTAATTAAAGATTTATCATTCTCTAGACGAAGTATTCGCTGAAACAGTGTCTAATAGACAAGTCTATACAAAATTCTGAAAAGATTTAGTACATAGAGTCTGCAATGGATACAATGGAACTATTTTTGCCTATGGACAGACCTCATCTGGGAAGACCCACACAATGATCGGCAAAAAGACAGATCCTGACAGCATCGGAATTGACTGCCTCGCTATTCAACAATTGTTCGATTTTGCTGAGGAGGTAAGTCTGCTGATCAAATTTTAGAACGAATCTTCTGAAATCACAATTTGGGTCTCCTATATGGAGATTTATAACGAGGTTATCAACGATTTATTGGATAAAGAGGGAACTAATCTTAAAATTAGAGAAGATACTTCAGGTACAATGGGTGCATATGTTGAAGGACTCACTAGTTTGAAGATACAAAATTATCAAGAATTCATGGATATTTTTGAACGAGGCGAGAAAATTAGAAATTACGCCAAAACTAAGCTCAGTGAGAAGTACACTGACGTGTACTCCTCGAGGAGCCACACTATCGTGAGACTGGTAAGAGAATTCACAACTTTAGATGGTTCAGAATAAGCCAAATAATGCGAATTTTGTGAAAGATGATGAGAAAACTTTGCATTTATCTTACAGGTGAGCAAACTTTAGCTAATTTTATAGTGTTAAGTATTCCATACTTAACCTTGTTGATCTTGCAGGTATGCAGCTCTAAAACTGATGCAGATATGTTGGATAGTATCCAGATATCTCTAGATATTCTTTACATTATGAACCAATTTAGGGAGCGAACGTTTGTCAGATGTCGGAATGAATAGGACTCTAGAAACGTCACACATAAATACTAGCTTATTCGTACTATCTAAAGTAATAAATTCACTCGCTGAGAAGTCTAAGAGGTATAGCATCTTGTGTTCATCAATAGTACTCATATTCCTTTTCGGGATTCTAAGCTCACAAAGCTATTGAAGAATTCTCTTGGAGGAAACTCGATGACGAGTGTGATATGTACGGTTAGCCCTAATTTCGACCATCTGCCATTGACAATATCAACACTTGAATTTGCCAAAAGAGCAAAGAATATTAAAGTCAAAGCAAGGGCTAATGAAGTCATTGATGACCATGATATTGTCCAAAATGTAAGCTATCTCTTATCTCTTTAGAAGCTGTAAGTTTTCTGACAAATCTTTGGTCCTTCTCTAAGTACCATGAACCATCAAACCTCTAGAAAAATCATGGAAAAATTGATTATGAAACTTGGTAAATTCTAATCCTAACTTTCTTAGAGAGGAGTGTCGACCAACTCAACAATGAAATCGATAAACAAAAGAAAACAAACATTAAGCTTAAGCAAGAGGCTAAGGATAAGGAAGACAAGATGAGAGAACAGAAGGAAATCATGGTTAAGGAGTTCCAAGAACAACTTAAGGTACTTTCTTCCTCATATCTTTCTTTCAATCATGTGTTAATTTGGATAAATTTAGAATATGTCTCAAGAAGTAGATCCAAAAAGTATCCCTCTTCCTCCAAGTCTGGTCGCTCCTGCTTATATTTCAAAACAGGACATTGATGGAAAATGTCAAGGGTGCGAGAAAGATCTCCTGAATGTAGCTAATTTTATCACAAAAGCAAAGGAACTTGTTGATCCAGACCACTATAATACCTTTGAAACCCGGCTAGATGAAATCGAATCTCACTGAAACACAGAATTCGGCAAATGAAGTGATTGCAAACAAATATCTGAAGAAGAAGCCTCTCACCAAAAAGAGCTGAGTATAAAGGCTTCAAAAATATCAAGAGTAAGGCCTTGCTACCAACTTTAGGAATGTCAGACAGATGCTGTTCATACTGAAGATTATCTGTTCTTCCAAAATATGATTGAAGATTACCTTCAAGTTTGTTTGAGATCCAAACCGTACAAAGCTGTCAAGATGGATTTCAAGTTAAAAGGTATAACAAGTGTTTCAGTCATAGATTCCCAGAAGAAAGAACTTATTATGGACTTATTCAAGTTCAAGGTTGCTATCAAGAGCAAGATCCAAGCTTTCATTGATAAATACGAAGCTGCTCATGCTATCCAGGAACAAATCCAAGAGTTTTCCGTATCTAAATGACTAAAATTATAGGAACTTGTCAAAGAACATGAAGAAAGCAAGAAGAAGTCTAAAGAAGCAGATGAGCAATTGGAGAAAGAGAAGAAAAAGATCGTTGAACAATTAAGCAAATGGGCTAACATGAATAAAGAGGAGCCTGCACTTCAAGAGAAAGATACTCCTCAAAAGGAAAAGTTAATTGATGAAATGAATCCTTACACGGATCTGCCATCATCTCCTCAATCTATTAACTCTTTAAACGCCAGTGATATTTGAAACAGCTCTGTCTATTCTGACATAAAACCTAAAGAGATCACCCCATCGAAAATCTTGGGTAGAAAAGATTTTCAGATCAAATAAAGCTGTAAAGCCAAATGGTCAGTCGAAGTTCACTGCATCTGGTCAGAAGAATCGGACGAGTTCTTCAAAAACAAAATATCAGATACAGAAACAGAAAAGTATTAAAACTAGCAAGTTAATTTCAAACCTCAGGACCAAGGTGACTCCTGCGAAGGTGGCTAGGAAGTTTACCTGTGACTTACCTATTAGTAAAGAGTCTGCCCAAAGTTTTAAGCTAAACAGGGAAGATCTTCTGATCAATGAATATTCAAGAATAGCACCTACTCCAGACTTAATGGATGACAGAGACTTAAGTGTGACCAGGCAGAAATATCCGACAAAGCTGCCTGCTCTCCAGTTGAATTCAAATAATACGATAGAAAAGCTACCGGTCATGAAAGAAAGTAGTAAGTCATAGTTTGCTCAACTTGTAGACTTGATCCATACCCCTGTAAAAGAAAAGGAAACAGACCCTGAAATCGTCGCAGATCAGCTAGAAAATGCCCTCGATGAAGAACTTGAGACCAGTGATGTTGAAGACTTAGAAGCTGACGAAAAGATGTTCGAGGTGATGATCCAGAAGCATGAAGAATTACAAAAAGAAATAGACCAAAGCTTGAAGAAAAGGGTTAAAGCATTTTACTCACAAAGGGACTATAACACTTACATGCTTGGTGACAATAGGGAAGGAAAATGAGGCACTGGAAAAGTCGAAGACTTTACTAAATAACCCTACAGCTTTGAAAATCAAATTTGAGAAGATCGACTGAGGATATCATCATAGTGCTGCTATCTCTGAAGATGGTATCGTTTATACATGGGGTAGATCCTCATCAGGACAATTAGGACAAAGTATTGTTATTAACCAAAATGTACCATCTTTGCTAGCTCAGCCATTGGAAAAAGTGACAATTGATGAAGTGAGCTGTGGCTGGCAGCATACTCTAGCTATAACAGTGTCTAAATATTTGTATTCATGGGGCCTTAATATCAATGGCCAACTTGGACTGGGGGATTATGAAGATAGAAAAATCCCAACTCTGGTTGAGGCTGTGATCACTACACCTGCAATGAAGATAAGCGCTGGTCATTCTCACTCTGCAATGATAGACTTTGATTCTCGTTTATACACTTGGGGTGCAAATCCCGACAGTAGATTATGTAAAAAGACCACTTACTATAAGCTGTCGATGAGACCAAAGAACGTGAATAAACCCTATAAATGCAAAGCATTAGATAGGTGAAGAATAATTGATGTGTCATTAGGACAAGATCACTCCTTATTTTTGGATGATAAAGGAGTTATTTATGCCTCAGGAAATCCTTCTAAGGGAAAACTTGGAGATCCTTATTATCATCCTGATAAGGCAGAGAATCCATATATGGCACACTATTTTCTCACAGGAAAGAAGAATAGGTGAGTCAAGGTCAAAGCAGGTGATGGATTCTCTGTCTTCCTTGCTGCAAATGGGCAAGTTTATGCTTGAGGTGAAGGAAATTATGGAAGGCTTGGAATTGAAGGCTCGACTAGTGTACAGAAACCTACAATGATTCCTTGCTTTGGAACAAAGGGAAATAAGATCATTGATATTGAAACAGGAGGAAGACATACTTATGCTATTTCAAAGAAGAAAGAACTTTATGTATGGGGATTTGGCTTTTATCATCAACTGCCAAACAACTCCACTGATGACTGCGAAGAGCCTCTTAAAATTGCAACCAAACATCAGATAGAGCAAGTCTCTTGTGGCTACTTCCACTCAGCTTATATCCTCGGTGAAGACTTGGTGCTACAAGATTCTGAGGATTCAGACTAACTCATATATTTCTGGATTCAACAGGTCATCTGTTTCCTGGGGTTTTGGGGTTTTGGGGTTTTGGGGTTTTGGGGTTTTGGGG